ATCCAAACCATTCTATGATTCTATGAATCAGACTTAAAAATGAAGTTGTATAATGTTCTGATGTTCTGTATAAATTTCTGAAAGAAGAGTGGGTCTCCATTTTTGAGAAGAAAGGTAAATAGAATGTTTTTTCTGGTGTCACTGAAGTTTTCTTTATTTAGGTTGGGAGTAGACAAACCTTTTTTCTTTTCTCGACAGTGAATAACACTGTTTGGATTAAAACCATGTATTCTTTGATGTAGGTATGTTGCAGCCTTATATCCGTTACTGTGAAAGATCTGTATCAGAAATACCAAGTCATGAAACTCGAATTAGAACAAGTGTTGTGGTTTAAAGCCACTTGGAAACCATGTAGAAGTCCTTTTTGCTGACACACCAGATCTTAAAGGATCTCCTTTGTGGGGAGCTCCATAGCATCTTTTATCATGGCCTTTAGATTCTTCTTTCAAAGACACCTGCTTGGCTATTAGCATATATAAAGTCCTCTAAATTAGCAGTCTGATAATGTTTGCTGATGGTGTGCTGACATTTCTGGCACTGGAATAAATCTTGAAGTAATAAAATCTGTCGTTTAGAACTGATTACCTTAAAATCATTCCATGAACTTTTTCCTTTGCCTAGCGCTGAATTATGTAGAATCGCAGCCATTAGAAATACATCAAGACAAAAAAGGAACCAAAATTCTGCTTCCAGTAAAAGTAAAAAACCGTTCCTCCTGTCTCTTCTAACTTCTACTAATAATTACCATAGTCTGTGCTAACTTGCTGTCTTCTAACATTTTTGTTCTTAGATGTTGTGTAGTAACAGTGAAAATACTGTTCCTCAGCTCTTGGTGGATTTCTGGGAAGCTCTTCTTGTAGTGTGCTCTCAGGAGGAAATACTTCAGGAGCTTTTATTGAGGGTTACATCTCAGTATGTTTGGAGAATATCAAAGAAGCAACTTCCTGAGACTAAGCCATTGAAGACAACAGAGGATCTGGTAAGTATACCACTCAGAGATTTTATGACTGCATGATCCCTCCAAAATCTATCCAAATAGTATCTTTAGTACTTTAATCCTGGGCAGTTTATCTGTTGAAAGAAGCAAGACTGAAAGCAAATAAGGTAGTGTGCAGTTACCAAATAGGTATTGCTGGCTCTGGGGACTCCTACTTTTTGGGGACATTTGCACATGTCTCCAAATGCAGTAATTGCAGCTCTGGACAGAAATAAGTCCAGAAACAATAAGAGTTTGTCAAGTGGAGTGTTTACAATTTTACAAAGCTGACTAAATGAGAAAAATGTGTGAATGATGAATTTTAAAGGATACTGAATGGGAAATCTGAAATACAGAATTAAATAGAAGTTTCCAGTTTATTTGTTAGTAAATTGTAGGAACCACAAGAAAGAGTACCTGCTATTCCAAATTATGCTATTTGAGAGTAAAATTTTCTTCACTTGTGGTGGGTTTTGCATGGAACTGTCACTAACAGAAATATTTCTTTTATTGCAACTTGATTCTTTCTTGTATAGATAAACTCCTGCAGTCATTTTGGGTTGATTTTCCCATGGGTAACTACCATAATGTCAGTGGGATCTCCATCTGAAAAAGATTACCATGAAGATACCTCAAAACTACAGGTATCTGATCTAACAGTAAGATCTATGAAACCCTTAGATCTTACTGTTTACGGCTTAGATCCACTCTGCAAATGTTTGTGTACATATGAACAACTTTCTCTAGGGGACTCCCCTCCTCCTTTCCTCCCAGGTTATCCAAGTTGAACTAAAAGGCACATTGAAATGATAGAAGAAAAAAATACTGAAGATATTGCAATAACAATGATATTTACATTTGTAGTCCACTGTAACTTGCTTTCTCAGTTTTCAGTAACATGTAAAGGAAATACTATTTCAGAATTATTTTGATAAGTAGGCTTCTGTTCTACGGTTAGCATTTTTTTGCAAAGTTTGTCTTAAATTGAAACAATACTTTTTCTTCTTGTCTTCAGTCTCTTTTATGTAGCCAGACAATCAATACAGCTTCAGCTCTGCCCATCTTGGAGCCTCTGACAGAGGCTGGCAATGTTGGCCTCACCATCTGTGTTCTCTGCAATACCCGTCTAGGCAAGTATGAGGAAGCCATTGACCAGCTTCTCAAAAGGTGTCCTGATGCAGCTGTATTATATGCTCAGCACGAGCTGAAAGATGACAGTCGGGTGAGCTACTATTGTTATAGTTGTTCAGTATTGGTTTTTTTGTTTTGTTTTGTTTTTTTCTAACTAAAATGCTATTCTGTACAGCTGCACTCTGGATGGATGGCATTTAAGTTCCATAACTCAGTCCCCACTAAGTTTAGTGGATTTTTTTTTTTTTTCCTAATTTTTTCTGTGACTTTGTGCATTCATTCTAGTAAATTTAAAGCGTAGCCTTTTCAGATGGCAGAGTGCCTCAGAAAAGGGAGAGTAGTATGTTCTTTTTGCACTGGAAATTAAAAACTAGCTAGTTTTCTAAATTCTAGTTTTCTCACTAATCAGTTTTTTAAATTGTTTGACAGTGTTGTATAACATGAAATTTTTAGTGATAAGCTCACTGATAAGAGAACGTGGTCCTTCAAATAAAATCACACTTAAATATGTTCTTCCTGCGTTCTAGTGTCATCTTCTGACCTTGTAACATCAGAAAGGTACTTGGTGTACTAGTGGAAAGATTATGTTCTTCATGTCCCATCTTCCCCGTAGGTCTCTATGTGGTTTTAATTTTGGAACTGATTTTATTCCAGTGTTCCAGGATTACAGGAGTTTACTTCCATTGCCCATCACAGCTACTCAATTAATGGTACAGTTTTGCTGGCAGATGGATATACTAGAACTCTGTTCAAAACCAGATTTGTGCTTTCTATTCAGATCTGAAAAAGTAATTTCTTTGATTGTTTCCATATTAGTTGAACACGAGGATGCAGTACTGAATCTGAACACAGGTGGAAGAAAAGTATTACCACGTTTAAAAAAGAAGGAAAGAAATCCCTTTCCCTCTCTCTGTTCTTATCAACAAAATTATACACAAAACATAATTCACTACTGTAGCTGTTGGAAGTAGACAGATTAGGTCAGAAGACAGAGCAGTGTTCTTAAAGTAAGCATAAGAGCTGGAGCTGTGTGTAGGGAAAAACCTTAATTTTCTGACTGCATCAGTCTGCCATTTATACGACTCTTCTCTTACAAACTTTTATCTATAGAGGCACTAGGGGGCACTGTGTAAAAAACCAGCCAGTATAAAAAGATCGCACTGAAAATCAAAATTACAACTTGTGCAAAAACACTGCATTTCAAAACTTTATGTTAATGAATTATTGAGTTCCTCCTAGCCTACCTGTATTTGTACACATCTGAGTTTAGTTCAGTGTATTTTTACTAGGTCTTTCATACTCTTAATTGCAGTCCTTGTTAATTTTTACCCTTTTGCTGTGGGTTTTTGTGGATTAGGCTTTGTGGTGGAACAAGCTGCTTCCTGAACTTTGCAAGAGAACCAGACTTACTGGAAATGACTGCCCTGTTCTTATTTCATTGCTGAAAGGTAAGTCAGTTGATGCAACTCAACTCCAGAAGCCTTTGTACCTCATCTGACATTCTAAGTACTGTTCAGGCTAAGGACTACTAATGTGGTATTTTGAAAGAAGACTTTTTTTCTACAGATAAAGCTAATACAGCTCAGCAGGCTTTATAGTCATTGGCACAGGATTCTGCGGCATATAAAAATCGTGGCGTTCATTTGGTATTGAAAACAGTTAAATTGTGGGAATCATTGTTTCTATGTAGGTCAAGAATAAGAAAAAACTTACTAAATAGAACTAATAGATAGTAATAGGTTTGTTTGTTGTTTTTTTCCTAGGCTAAGTGACTATATGGTTCTAAGCGGTGACAGCTATCAGAACTACTGTTGATAACCCGGTGGGCGTTTAAGTGTGTGCTGATGATTAAGTCATAGACTGAAAAAAACCCCACAATGCGTTACTACTAGAAGCAGAGAAACCAACCCTGGTAGTTGATGTAGTCCTATTGTTACATGTTTGTAGGAAGTCAATAATACTGTGTATTGGTCTGGGAAGCTGCTTGCAGAACATCCCAATTTACAGATAGTGCTGAGTTGGTTAATCTACTAGTATAGATTTCTAGGGCTTCCTTTGCATTTGGTACAAAACATGTGAAGTACTAGATCAGAATTCCATAAGCATTAGCACCACATCTAGACCTGATGAGTCAAGATAGAGGTATGGTTTTAATCTAAGACATAGTTTCAGTTTACTTTTGAGATTTCCTATAGTTGAATTTGCTCCCAACTTGGTGTGTCTCAAATTTCATTCTAGTTGCAATATTTAGATAATTTGATGACTTCAGCTAGTAATTACATTGTTAATGTTTTTTAATTTCTTTGGTCTAAAACCAAAATACCTGAACAAGATTTTCTCCCCTGCTCCGAGCAGAAACTTTATCAGTTGTTGCAATGGAACTGGAACTAAGGGATTTCCTCAGTCTTCTACCAGAGGATGGAACTGCAGCATTTTTCCTGCCTCATCTTCTTCACTGCAGCCAGAGGAAGCTGCTGACTTAAAGCAATGAAAGTCTACTGTGCACCCAAATACAAAGAATGTGCTGGAATGAAAAAATTAAATGAAACAAACAGTAGAACTCCATGTAAGGTACTGTGGGCCTCCCCTCACATAAATCACCTTATTTCTCTAGTTGAAACCTTATGACGGCTATTGAATTGTCAGACAGATATTGTCTGAGGCAAAGCAGCTGTTCTGAAGCTAATACTGTTACACTCTGACAAAGGTCAGCAAAACAGAGTTCCTGCCAGGTAGAACTGAATGGTGGTTGGACTGGTAAAAACATAAGCTATTAAACTGTTAAGCAGGATCACTTGTCTTTGCAATAACTTATGGCCAAAGCAGCTAGAAAATACACACTGTACATTAGAACTGGGCACACAATGTTCACTGAAAGGGAGTCTTAATTCTATGTTTGTTAGGTCGCTGGTCTGGGGAGGAGTTTAAGCTGTCTAACTGTACCAGTAAAAGTAAGTGCCTTACTCTTCCAAGTGGAATTGGGCCCCACTTCATTTTGCAACATAGACATTCCCTTGAATTCCAGCTGGCAAAACCAGTCAGCTGCACTGTCATCTTAATTACATACCTATGCAAGTAGTACAATAAAAATGTTTTCATTTAGCAATTCACAAAAAAACCACCGTAAATGGAAGAGAAACAGAAGTGTTCCCAAGGGGAATAGAAGATACGGACTACCCTTTGCTTGCTGGTTTTTTTGTTTTCTTTCTTCTGTTGTACTCAATCAGTAGACAAGTAGTTGAAGTATCACTAGGTCAGAAATCCAGCTGAAAACTCTTACTTCTGCTAGGTTTTTTGGTAAGCATGTATGTACTGATGTTTGTCTTTCTTTTGGGCACCTTCTGTCCCTTCATCTGGAATTCAGTCATAATAAACTGTCACAATGTTTATGACCTTTTTATGAATGCAGTTTGGTTTTTTTGAGAATCTAAAACAAATTTTGCTGTTGCACAGGGTTATTTACAAACTTAAAAAAGGGCGGGGGGGGGGGGGAAACATTTCATTTGGATCTTCCGTGTTCATCAGCAGTTAAATAACATGCATTAGGCATCACCTAGAGTATGTTTAGCTTGCAAGATACTATTTTTATTTAGAGAAAAAGATATTTGTAAGCTGTTACATCCATTCAACTGCCTTAGTTTATGGCTCTTTTGTTTGCTGTCAGTCACCAAATGAAATCTTCCAAAACATGGAGATGAATTGTCCAGGAGATAGTATTTATCAAGAAATGCTTCACTCAAGGTAGACCTTGGAGAATCACTGTGGTAAAATGCTTTCATCATTCTAGTGTGCTGTCTGTACCTTTACACTTGAACTGATTGAGTAACCTTGGGAACAAAGATAATTTGTCTGTAAGGAGGAAGACAGCTTTTGTTACCCATTTAATGAAAAGAATAGTCTATGCATATGGACAGCAGTCCCAGATGAGAGCAGTGGATCCCAGTACCTTCTACACATTGTGAGTTAGGTTTAAACAGTTTCAAAACACACTGAAAGGTACGTTTTAATGCACTTCAGATGGCTGATTATGAAAAATCCATACTGCTTCTACAAGTTAAAGTCTGTTTCTATATCTCTTTCTGTGTACTAAGTAGTTTTTTATCTGCACAAGTTTGGCACAATGTATTCTGTAAATCAGAATGGTTTATAAAATAGAATCGGATAGTGTTTAACATTCCGGTTTATATTTTTAGTATAGATACACCTGTACATTATATAGTTGTATATCTATATATACACATACAAACACATATTTTGAAATGTTCCTACTGTTCTCTTCCTGTCAATTAACTATAATGCATGCCTACTATGCTCTGTCTTTAGAGTACAGGAAAGTGTTGCTATTAAAATTGTATTATTTACAATTGTATTATACAAATACAAATTATTGTATTATTAATTGTATTATTTGTAGAAACAACTTTCAAAATTCATGTTTTTTTCATATGTAGTATTGCTTAAGCAAGGTAATAATGACTGTAAAGCTAAAACATGTCTATTAGAAAGAAAACACTATTTTAGTTTTTCAGTACTCTTAACTGTTAGGGATGATGACTTCAGCTTTCTTTACCAACTGTTCTTTTTGTTTTAAATGAATATTGAGAGTGAGTCTGACACTACTGGCATATCTTGGTACAGAAATACTCTGCCTCATGAAGAATTATTTTTAAATAAAAATCTGACATTTTAATTTCACTGATGGGAAGCTGAAGCAATAGTCAGTTAACATCCAGTCTTTTAGCTACTGTTTTCTGAGGAGAAGCACTGAGGCAAGTATGACATGTGGCTTGCAACATTCTGGCCTCCAGACATCAGTATTAAGCCATGAAATACTGCTGGATGCCTGAACTGGTTCCAAGTATGCTGCCCTGTCTGTGAGCCCCATTCTGCATCTCTAAACATAATGAACATTACTGAGATAGACAAGCTCCTACCTTCCTTTGGGAGCACTGTGTAGGTGGCTTCCATACCCGCGTGGATGTGGTCAGTAACATGACAGTGTAATAGCCAAGTTCCTGGGTTCTGCGGGGTCATTTCCACAGTTTGAAACGTCCCAGGGAAGAGATCAAAGACATCTGCCCGGTAAACCCCTGTTTGCTTCCCGACAAAAAGAAACAATGGTGAAGCAGCGTGGCATTACCAGATGGCAGTAATTCAAGCTACCTTTTATGCATATTGCCACCAAACTTTTTAATCACAGTTGAGTGAAAAGACATCTACTGTATGTCACGTCTACAGAAGCATCACTTTGTATATCCACTTCATGCTTAAAGGGTTAATAAACTAGCAACTAAGTGGAAATGAAGCAAAACTAGAGCTGTTGTTTTACCACAGACATAAAAATTCACAAAGCAACTTGTGAGGTTACTGCTCTGCAAATGCTACTGGCAGATATTCTCTGCCTCTTGTATGTTGATCAAATACAGGTTTAGGGCATAAAAACTTTACAGTCATATTACAAGTCGTGCTTAACAGTGTAACATCTGACTTTTCACTAGAGATTACAGTCCTTGGTATTTGTTCTACCTCTCATTCTTAACACAGCAAGAAATGAGTGTAAAGGACCTGTTACCTTATACTCAAAGCTGTGGCCATGGAAGTGTGCTGTGTGAATGTCTATTTCATTGCCCATTGCCATCAAATACCAGCTCACTTTATCTCCAACACGCATCGTTAGACCATGCAAATTTCCAAACACCTTTCCATTAATGGCTAAAAAGTTGGAAAGAGCAAGACAGAGAAAACAAATAAGATTTTGTGTATTGTTATTCTATGAACTTTAATAGAATACAAGAGTTGAAAGACAATGCCAGGCAAAAATAATGGCTTTGAATGGTATATAAAAACAAAACAATTGGACAGCATATTATGAATGGGTCTGATTATATTCCATATTTAACTAGAAAGTAAGACACAGTTAAAAGTCCTTTACGGTACACCACTGCTAATAATGCAGCTATTAAAGATCTGCATTTCCTGCAGCTCTTGTAAAGGGTAAGCTTTACCAGGGCATGCTTTTAAGATGCACACCGCCTTTTCAACTTAGCCAGAACAGTTGTTTGCTGACACCAAATCAAAATTTCAAATTCAATTTTTACACTTTCTCTCCTTTAAAAAAAAAAAAAAATAAGGAACAGTGTTGCAAATAGTTTGAGTGAAATTTTTCAGGCCTTCTGCCCTGGAACTGGAAATTCAGAGGGGATGGGAAAGTCAAATTTATATGCAGTACTTTGAAATACATAGAGTTTCAGAAACACATTGAAATACATAGAGTTTTAGGAGTAACATTAACTAAATTGGGAAACATACCATGCATTTTATTACTTTCAATGAATTCCTCATCCTCTTTGTCAACAAGGTGCGGGTTGGTAGAATAGGTTTTAATGTTTTCATCCAAGTACCATGATTCATTTTCATCAAAAACCATAAAAAGAAGAGCAAATTGAACTTTCTTTTTAGTATGAAATGATGGCAAATAATGTCGATGACACACAACAAGTGTGCCTATTAATCCACTGTAGGTGTCCTGAAATTACAAATGAAAAAATATAATCACAAGATGTGACTAAGCAGGAGCATTTTTAATGCCAGACATGACTCCTCTCACTGTTTCTACAGTTGTTAGTATCTGGGAATAAAAAGTAGCCTGTGTCAGACAAATTTATTTCTTCACTGTTATATGCTACCCATGGATCAAGTTCAATGGACTATGAAGAGTAACTGTCTCTTTTTTTCTCTCTTGCTAGAAATAAACATTTGTTCCATTTTAATTTCTTACTCATGGGGCTTTTTTTTCCAAATTCTTTTTAGATTTTAGGATTTTGAGCTTGGTTTCCATTCAAATATACTTCTTGACACTTTATTATTTGTGTTGCTGAGACATGTAGGAAAGAATACATTATTTTCATTAAATATTATTAGTCATGTTAAGTTAATGGGTGCTTGTACAAAAATGGCAGTTTTGTATTCCACAGTTGCATGCTAGTTTTGCCACACATGACTGATTAGATATTGAGCAAGCTATGAAGTGTCAGATTTAAGAATGAAATCTAAGTGAGGTGATCTATAGTGACAGCAGAAGAACCAAGGAGCAAGAGCATGAAGGGCTGTGATTCAAATTCTGCCCTGACTTTCTTGCAGTATTCAAGAGACATTTAAATTCAAAGGTATGGTAATGGTGAGAATGACTGGAAAGAGTTTCAAACTCATCTCCTTTTTGCTGTAAGTGTATCTGTGTTGAAGACACAAACAAACCCCTTTATATTGATATTAATAATATACCTTAATGATGTCCACCGTTGAATGGTATGCCCATGCAATACAGTGTGGATCTCCCTTCTCAGAACTAGATCTCTCTGGGATTTTCCAGACATACATTTTTGTTTCACCTGAATTAAATAAATATCAATGAATTTTAGAAGTTTTCTGTGTGCTGGCCTACAAGAGGTCATCCTGAAACATATGTTATCTCCATTTACAGCATGTATTTGTCTTAAACTTCCTCTTCCCAATTACTGCACTGGCTAGCTTGTTGTTGTTTCCCTTCTGCAGATCCCTGACTCTTCTTGC